GTCCTCCATTTCTGCAAGGTCAAAGGAAGAATGGCCAGGAGGACGAGGGGAAAAAAACCAAACCCAGTCACCACAGAGCTGCCCTGAATCTGCCCTTGATAAATGTTGTTTTAACTAACGGCATGTTACCCATTAGCTGCATCACAGCTATCCTGAACTGGAAAACCTCTGAGTGAGCTGTACAGTTTGATCTGTTTTGTGCTCGGGGCTCAAAGGCAGTTTCGATCGGGGTGATGGATTTGTCTCCTTTCTGCTCAGTTGGTTATCCGGCTCTAATAGGACATTTTAATCAAGAGGAACAGGCAGGGGGACAGCTGCGGCCTCAGAAGTCCACCTTCCCCATAATTTCCAGGCAAATGTAACATGCATTTATTTATTACTCTGTTTACATCTATGTCTTGTTTTTCCTAAGGAAATCAAGTCAAAGTATATAACCGTGATGGTGAACCGATGGCACGTGTGTCCAAAGTGGTACGCAGAGCCATGTCACCTGGCATGCGTGGCATTGCCCATTCCTCTTCTGGGTTTCTGGCGCGTATGTGCACACGACGATCAGCTGACCTTTGTGCATGCAGCAGTGCCGGAAACTGGAAAAGCTGGTCTTCCATTTTCCAACATAAGCATGCGCGCCGGCCAGCTGGTCGGCATTTGCACATGTGCGGCAGTAACTGGAAAGCTTGCTGGCAGGGGCACATGTATGCACCAGAAACCAGAAGTTCAATTTCCGGGGTGCACATGCCCCCAAGGCAGCTCCTCTTCCTGATCACTGCCTAGACAAAGTGCTCCCTTTTCGGCAACTTGGTGCCGAAAATGTTGCCCTCATTTTCTCTTACATAACACCCCTGTGAGGTAGGCTGTGATGAAAGAGTCTGTCATAAATTTCTGAGCTGAGGAGGGGTAAAATCTGGGTCTCCCTGTTGCCAGTCTACCCAATCACTATACACAGTGCTAGCTCTCCCCCACCCCCCAAAAAAATATTTTATGACCAATTACTGTAGTTAATCCCTTACTCTGCAAAAATTCATACTATATCAGTTTTAGGAGAAACCACATTTAGGAATGTGTGGTTTGATATAAAGTACATGTCGCATTTACATTTATGTTTGGAAATTGTAGTGTATTTAAATATGCATTTCAACAAGCAGGACTGATGGAACTGGAAAACTCTGAGCCATCCTGAATTAAAACTGTAAAAATATGCTGAGAAAGCCATTTGTTTTTAAAAGAGTCCTGGCCCAGGTATGTCCAAATTTTAAGTGCTTTCAGGGACAATTGTCAACTGGAATGGACCCAAATTCGGTGGCACCTTTCCTTAATCAGGCAGGCTGCCCCACATGTAGAACTACATCTCCCATCCTAGCTAGCCACTGTGGTACTTAAGCTGGAAAATATCGACTTTGTAATCCAATACATCTAAGGGCACCAGACTGAGAATAATTTAGCACTTGGAGGGGGGGGGGAAAGGCTTCCTAAAATTCAATTAATTGTTTTAATCTAAATCTCATTCGCTGTTTGATGCTTTGCATTTTCGCTTTTAAGTAATTAACAAGCCAAAATAGTAGTTGCATTTCAGCTGAGCGCACACAACATCATGTTGTTTGCATTTTTGACATTTCACTGTCCTGCTTCAGAACTCCTTTGCTGAAGGTATGCAAGCCTGTTGCCAAAAAAATAGTTTCACAGCTGTTCCATGTTCCTTCCTGCCGTGAGATCATGGACAGCCTGCAAACACAGTCATATATTTCTTTTTCTTCCTGAGAACGGTGACACAGTATATTATCTTTATCAGAATAAGCAAATGAACTTTGGGCTGGTATTTTATGTTCAAATAGTGGCTTCAGGTTTGCTGAGTGATGAGTGACAAAGCAGCCTTATCTACGTCCAGCCGCCTTCTCTGCACATCTGCTTTGCCGTGCTTCCTCCTTTTTTCACTCCATCTTCGGATCACGTTCTTTCTCTTCCACTGGCAAAGAAGTTAACCTGACTTTTAATCTGAATTCTTGCCTGCTTTGATGCCCAGTTCGGCATCCTTTGCTTTTCCTTTTGATTTTACTCTGCGTTCTTCCCTGCTTCGGAAATTTGTGGTGCCTAATCTTAGCCTGGAAATGCCAAATTTGACCAATCTCAAAAAGCTAAATAAGGTTCTTGGATAGAAGAACTTAGGAAAATCCAGGGCTGTTGTTTAAATGGAGAAGTCCAGGGGAAAACCATCCTGGAAGAAAGAAATAAAACTTCTTCATGTAAATTTTATTCATTTATTAAATGTTTATACCCTTGTAAGGTGACTGCAGAGGAAATGTCCAGGAAGATACCAAAGTTGAATTTGCTGAAAGGAAGTCTTTTTTTTCAAAGATTGCTTATGCTCATACTTATTACTCAATCACAAACAAATCATCTTTCTTTGAGCCACAGTGGCGCAGTGCTTAGAGTGCAGTACTGCAGGCTACTTCTGCTGACTACCAGCTGCCTAAAATCTGGCAGTTCAAATCTCACCAGGCTCAAGGTCAACTCAGCCTTCCATCCTTCCGAGGTGGGTAAAATGAGGACCCAGATTGTTAAGGGCAATAGGCTGACTCCGTGAACTGCTTAGAGAGGGCTGTGAAGTGGCATATAAGTCTACGTGCTTTGGCTATTGCTTTTCTCCTTCTTTGCTGTTCTCCTGCATATGCAACCTCAGCACTTATGCAGGGCCATTGCTTCTGATCAATAGCCTTTCAGCTGCTAAAGCCTCACCTCATCTTTGGCTAAGGGGTCAACTGTAATCTCACTGAGAAGATGCAGTCTGATTAGAGAATTCGGGAAGTGGAAGTCCAACCATTTTAAAGTTGCCAAGGTTGAAAAGCATCAGTTTACACATCGCCCATGAGATGCCATCAAGGAGAGCAACAGGTGGGCTCTGCCAAGAATTTGGGAACGCAACACCTCAGGTGCTCTTTGGTGTGATGCTCCTTGGAGCTCAAAGGCCTTCGCTTGCCTTGTGCATCGCTTCGTCTCTCTGCCTCTAATGCTTTGGGCCTGTCCACAGGTACCCCCAGCTGCCCTGCGCCTCCCACCTCCTTCCCTGCTCGTACCGAATGCTTTATTTCCGAGCTCAGGGAGGGACAGGTCTGTGGGCGGAGGGGCAGAAACGTTCTTGTTGCTCACTGTGTCCTGTTTATGTCCCAGCTATGTACTCTGTAGAGATCACTGTGGAGAAGGACAAACTCACAGGGGAGACCAAAGTCCTGTCCAGCACCACTAGACTGCCCAAAGAGAACACAGTTCAGGGAGTCAAAGTGTACGAGGACGAGCTGAAAGGTACGCACTGGAAGGGAGAGTCCACAGACAGACCAAGGATATGTCTGGTCTCCTGCAAACAACTTTCATGCGCCCTGGGACTCAGATGGAGTCCTGAGCAGCACATCGTATTGACTCAAGAAGACCTGGCTTCCTTCCCACAGCGCAGCGGTTGGAGGTTGTGTTTGGGGTTGTTTTGGGGGCTCTGATGGCGCAGAGATTCAAGGGTGGTGCAGATAGTCCTTTAGTGACCGTTTGAAGTGGCGAGGACACTGAAAAAATTTACTTGACTGTTTCCCCCAGACTTTAGGATTTTTGAAGCGTTCCCCACGATCGTGGGATCAAAATTCAGACACTTGGCAATGGGCTCACATTTGTGGCGGTTGAAGGGCACCAAGGTCGTGGGATCACGTTTTGCGACCTTCTGACAAGCAAAGTCAAGGGGGAAGCACAGATTCACTGTGCTGGTTGGATTAGAGCAGTGATGGCTAACCTTTTTCTAACGGTGTGCCAAAATTGTGTATGCGTGTGCCAGTGGTGGGTTTCAAAAAATTTTATAACCTCTTCTGTAGGTGTGGCCTGCTTTGTGGGAG